TATATATATATATATATATATATATATATATATATATATATATATATATATATATATATATATATTTATATATATATATATATATATATATATATATATATATATATATATGTATATATAAGTATGCAGGCCTTGTTATGAGATTCTGATGCGTAACGTAAAAGCGCAACCTGAATTAATGTAACTTTATTTAAAAAAATATTTACATCTTTGAAAGTTTAATTGCGTAAGTTGGAACTTACCTGAAACTTAACTGAAGTTAAAATGAAGTTATATGTAATGCGAACATTAGTTTACTTGTTTTAGTTACTTGAATTGTTTTAGTTACTTGAATGTTGAAGTTACTTGAATTAAATTTAGTAATTTTTTTTTTTACTTTAACATAAATTTTGGAAATTTTATCAGTAAAAAAAATTGTATAACAAAGCGTTTTTAAATTTTCAAAAGATTTTTAATTTAATTTAATCAAATAAATTACTAAAACTATGAATTATAATAAATTTAATTATAATTTTATAAAATAAAAAATAAATATATATTTTTTTTAAACAGAAAATAGAAAAAAAGATATCTCTATTTTTTTATCTAATAAAAAAATAATATTCCACAAACGTTTTTTTACAACAATTAATTACAGTTTAATGTTTTCCGCTTAATCTGTTTTAAAAGACTGTTTAAAATAAACTTGTTGAAAAAAGTTTTTGTGTAACATAAATTACGAAATGCGTACGTGAGGCCTATATATATATATATATATATATATATATATATATATATATATATATATATATATATATATATATATATATATATATATATATATATATATATATATATATATATATATATATATATATATATATATATATATATATATATATATATATATATATATATATATATATATATATATATATATATATATATATATATATATATATATATATATATATTAGACCTTGTTATAAAGTGTCAGGCAAAGAGGATTTTATGTACATAAAGAACTATTTTATGTTATGCTTTGCTGTTTACGTTATGCCAAAAACCTTTTAGTTTGATATTATTTTTAAATATTTTTAAGCTGTGTTTTAATGAAGTAGTTAATTTTTATTTTAATGGTATTTTAATGGAGTAGTTAATGTTTAAAAATCTGCATACTGTTATGACAAAGGTTTGAATTGCATATACTAAAAAAAATATTCAGCTACACAAGAAAAATTTGTCTATTCTTTTAAAATAACATAAATAAAAGAAATGTAAAAAATAATTAAATTAACCTTTACAAAATAATCTAAAAAACATTTTAATATTTTTTTAGACAATGTTAGTTATATTTGTTCAGGTATTAGAAATACAACAACAATCGACAATAAAACATTACTTTAAAAAACTTTTTTTAATAAAATCATTAAAAAAATAGATAATAAACAAAACCGTTAGTAGTATTTTGTTACTTGATTTAAATGTGTTTTGCGTAACTCATTCATACACCATTCCTATCCAAGTCTGATATATATTTATATATATAAATATATGTATATATATATACTCTTGCATGGTAGTCAGAAAGAGTTTCCCATAAACTGTAGTTTTGAAGAGCGCGTTAATAAACCAGACCAGAAAAAGTTTAAAAACTTAATTTTTTTTTTTTTTAATGCCTGCCCAAACCAAACCCTCAGTCGATGTAGCAGCACTCCCTTGCGAGTCAGGCTATTTGTCAGTCATTGTAGCTGCACTCCTTTGCGAGCCAGGCTATTAGTCAGTCGATGTAGCAGCACTCCGTTGCAAGTCAGGCTATAAGATAGTCGATGTAGAAACACTCCCTTGTAGCAGCAGGCTATAAGATAATCAATGTAGCAACATTTACGCATGTTTTAAAAATGTTTTTTAATAAAACAAAAACAAAAACACCACTAATTAAAAAAAACTTTCTAGTCGTTATTATTGCGGTTTATTAAAAAATTTTTAAAAAACAATAAAATTTAATGTACTTCCGCATTAATTTAATTGCTTTGACATTTCGATGACAATCAAATACAGCTTAAGAGACGAGGTAATTAAAATTGTAGTCGAAAGAGACTTTTTTTACATTAAAAGACTCTTTCGACTACACTATAAGGATATATATATATATATATATATATATATATATAATATATATATATATATATATATATATATATATATACAGGGACTATTTTAGACCGTTTTCTACAGCATTGACCATATTTGGGCGCCATCCAAATTAAAAATAGAGGACTTTTTTTTTTTTTTAATGTTTTTACAGGAAATATTGTTTTTTTTAAAAAAAAAAATAACATTGATTTTCCGCTAAAGTCCGCCAAAGCAAGGGGATACCGCCACCCAAATATTTTTGCTAGAATAGGCCCTTATATATACATATATATATATATATATATATATATATATATATATATATATATATATATATATATATATATATATATATACATACAGTATTGTTTTTTTTAAAGTTATTGAACTTTGATATTATATCAATGATTGTTTGACTCTTTTTAAATATAAAAAATGTATTTTAAGGAGCATTCTATTTTATTTCAAATAAATACAGATATTCATAAAAATATTTTTTGATTTAATAATTATATATATTTTTTAACATCTATTCCATAATCTAAAATGAATACTATGGTAAAAATTAACAATTCACTGTATTATTTCAAACCTTCTTCAAATTTTTATTTGTCTTTGATCAAAACTTTGCACTTATTTGCAAAGTATTTACATTTATTTGAGAATTTTTATTTAAATTGTTATAAATATTTGAAAAATTTGCTTGAAATGAAATAGAAAATCCAGTATCTAATTAGCCACAATATTTTAGCAATAAAATAATTAAATTGACTGGAAAAATCATTGATTATATAACAAAATTTAAAATCACAGTAATAAATGAACAAAATATCTTAATGAGAGAAACTACAAAACATTTTAACACGTCACATGCCACTTTTAGCAGAATAATCAGCCAATATTAAAGATACAATACAATTCAAAATTCTTTATGTCTTGAAAGACTCAGCATTTCAAATTAAAGAAATAAACATTCACTTGTTCGTATAGTGAAAAAAAAGAAGAAGTTTATTATCTACTGATTTCAGTCGAAAAAGACACAAAGCTTTGGGTGTTATTGATAATGCTCAAAAAATTAAAACTATTTGATATTTTTTTAATCTGGCCTGATTAATGCGTTTTTGTATTTAATATTTGACATCAATAAAAAAAGTTCCTTTTAAAAAACCTAAATCGAGTTAAACATGTTTGGGGTTTCCCTTTTGCGGTTAAATGAAAATATAAGATTCAATTTTTTAATATCAATATAATAAATATATATTAGAATATTTTAAAAACAGTATTTTAATTTATAAGTATAAATTAATATAATAAATATAAATTCAATCACAAAAATGCTATTTTATTCCTGTGATTTAGTGATAAATAGTACAATTAGATTGTAAAAGAAAACATATACTTTTCTGTATATTTTAATAAAAGTAATAAGTTTGCTTTAATTAATTACTATTTTTATTACATTAGTTTATTCTAACTTAAACACTTCACAATACGTTTAAAAAAAAAAAAACATGCTACAGTGAACGTTTTTTATAACTACCACATACTATTTTTAAAGGGGAAAACCCAATCTGATTATGTAAAACTAAACTGTTGTACTATAAGATTTTTTTACAGCGAAAGAATCATTCAAGTATAGAACTCATTTCCTGACCACATAGTGAACTCGCCCTCACTGTCAGAATTCAAATCGAATTTTAAAAATTATGATTTAAACTGCCATGCAGTCTACTAACTTGGTTTTTTCACATTTACTCATATTGAATTTTTTTTGTTTTTGTTTTTTTGGTGTTACATAAGAGTAATTTAGTAATTACCTGTCTCACCATTTTGTATTTTGTACATTTTTCAAATACAAATAAATAAATAAATAATTGCCATTCAAAAGTTTAAGTGGTTTTTTTAAAAAATTGATTACTTCTTTTATCTTACCACTTGTAGATTAATTTAAAAGTTATTACTGTGATCCAAATGATCTAGCAGCTTATGGATCGCATTTATACAAAATGTTAAGAGGATCATATTATTAAAAAAAAAGTTCAGGTCTCTGCAATAAATGGAAGGTGCTTAAATAAGCCTCGGAATCTGAAAACATTTTTGTTTTAATTTGGACATACTTACAACATAATGAAATAAGAAAAAGTGTAAAAAACACTTATAGCTCTCTAGCACTGACGTTTAATAACATTCACTTTGACAAACTAACAACGGAGGTGTTAAAAATATGTCAAATTTTTATAGTTCTTATAGTTTAAACAAAATAACAAACAAAAAATTTTGTTTTAAGTTTTGTTAGTGATATGAATAATTGATGACATTTAAATTTTTAAAGTTGTAGTTTCCAGCTAATTAAAAAAATAACATTATTTTTATTGGTTGATTTTAGAATTAACACAGGTATTTCTGGACCATTAGTAACAGTTTAAGAAATAATTTTTTAAAATGTTGCTTGTTTGTAAAAGTTACTGAAGTTTTTAATATTATTTATATATCAATTGTATTTTTTTTAGATGCATTTTTATTTCGATTACAATTTGAGATTTTTATTTTAATCATTTTATTACTTATAATACCTGGATTAACTATTGTTTAAACAAAAAAAAAATATAAATATAAGTTAATAGTAAGCTAGTGTTATTTGTTACTTTTGTAGTTTTTAATTTATTGTTTTTTTTTTGTTATTTTTTTTTATAATAAACTTAAATTAATTCAGCCCTTTTCAAAGATTCAGTTTATGGAAAACATAGTTTTCCATAAATTAAAACTTTAAGGAACATAATTTTCTCTATATATCACAATTTGCAATCACTTAATTCATCACTCATAATATAATGTAATGTTATTTTCATGTTATCATTTTGTAATTGCTTTTATTTAAATAATAGTGATGCAAAGATTAAAGTTCAGGTGGAAAGAGTGTTTGATATTTGGAATGAGAGAGCAATCTTTGAGCCGGATGTTATTCACAAGTATAAAGAAATGCTTAATAAAACTGGTACGTTTTTCATTCATATAAGTTAGTATGATATTAATTTTGTAAAAATAGTATTAAGTCAAATTTCAAATCAGCAAACTTATAACAAAGAAAATAAAGACAGTCATCAACTTTTGAAATGTTTAAATTAAAAGTTTGATTTAAACAAATCATGAAAATCAAAAAGTTAAAAACTTTTCTTGATTCAAAAATGTCATTTAAAAATATGCATAATGATCTAAGATTGATTGCCATGAGATTCATAGATTGATGAGATTCATGAGATTGATTGAATTCCTAATGTTTTAATTAATCTGATTTAATTATAAATTAGTTTTTTAATGGCTTATCAAACTTTCAATATAGTAGTATGAGAAGTATAAATAATTAAAAAAAAATTTTTTTGTACCAATTTATTCAAGTGTTAGCTTAATTACTGCCTGTCAGCAGCAGTTTTAGGGTAGAGATGACATAGCAGTTTTAGGGTGGAGTGGACATAGCAGTTTTAGGGTGGAGTGGACATAGCAGTTTTAGGGTGGAGTGGATATAGCAGTTTTAGGGTGGAGGAACTTTAGCTATATTAACATATTACTTTTAACAAACTATAAAAGTAATGAAAAATATTAGAAAAAAATGTAAGAATTTATATACTATCATTAAGATTTTTTTCATTTCTTGGTATAGTTAACTTATGTTTTAAATTTAATGCCACTATTCAATACATTTATGTCTTAACCCATTGAGAATTTAATATTTAACATTGTATCCAAATTTAATATATAAAGTATTTCTATATTTTGTAAATAAATACGCATTTTTTTTGTGTGTGTGGAAAAGACATTAAAAGGGCAGATTGAAAATGTTAAAAAGTTACGAGGATTAAGATGTTGATAGGGCTTAATACAATATCTTTAGGAGGATTGAGATATTGAGAGGGCTTAACACAATATTTTACGAGAATTGAGATGTTGAGAGGGCTTAATACAATATCTTTGTAACAAAGTAGTGAGTGGTATTGAAAAATTGAAAATTTTAGGCAATAAAAATTTACAAATTTACAGTCTGCTTTTCAAGATTCGAGTTTAACTGAATAAATTTATACCATATGTGTACACCAAATTTAATTAAAAGCGGTATTTGGATTTTAAAAACTTATTTAATTAAAAAAGAAAATTAAGCTTTCATATTGAATTTTAACTAACTTATCATGCATTAGCCAAGTTTACATGCATTTAATTATATTTACAGACTGCAAGTACAATGATTTTTAAAATATTATTTTTATAAAATAATGAAATTATATTTTTGAATAGTTATTTTTTATAAACCAAGTTTATTATTTTTTAGCTCGTAAATTCCCATATTTCAAAACATGACAAAGCACAAGTAAAACAAAGTAATTTTTTATTTATTAAAACAGAAAATATACGCTTACTAAAGACAACAACAATTTGTGTCGAAAAAAAAATTTAAAATCTAAAAATGCAGCATTAATGAGAATTTAAGTTATGCAATCTTTACAACTTTTAGTGTTTTTAAACAAATGTTAACAAAAGAACATTAACAACGTTGATTAAAAATTTTCGAATATCAATTTCGTATAGAAAAAGATAGTTAAGAATATTATGTTAAATACTCACTTTTTTTTCCACTCTCTTAATTCTGATACATGAACCTTGACGAACAAGGCCAGTGCAAAGAAAAACAGGTTGACATAAATGAAACATGTATATTTTATAATTATTTTTCTTTTTCAATTAAAAATAACTAATAGCTTTCCAATTTAACTAAAAGTTAAATTCGTAATGATGAAATTTTGCAAATGTTACTAAATTTAACTGAAAGTCAAATTTCTATATTAAATTTAACACTGAAGCTGAAGCCAAAATCAACTTCACCTTTCAATAAACTTTATCCATAATTTAATGAATATTTGCCAGTCCTTAAACAGGATGAAGATTGTATAAAGATATGAAGTCAGTTTTTGTTGAATGTTTGATTAAAATCACAAAACATATGAAGAGAATGATAGACATAAAAAAGATAAAGAGAATGACAGACATAAAAAAGATAAAAAGAATGATAGACATAAAAAATATGGAGAGAGTGATACGCATAAAAGAATATGAAGAGGATGATAAAAACAAATGACAATAAGGCATTGCCAAAAATATTTTTATAGTTTTTTTCTTCTTTTATTTTAAGAATCGTGATTCAATTTTTTATAATTATTTTTGAGAGATTAGAAATTCTTAATTTTGAATATTTTTTTATTTTTGATATTATTTACAAAATGTAGCACAAGAATTATGTTAGAGCATCAAAGTAATTAAAAAAAAATCATTATTCTTATAAGTTTTTTGAAGTTCACACAATTTAAACATAGCGCATTTAGTTTGAACATTTGTGTTTTATTTTATGTCTTATATTTTGGTTTCTTTATTTGTTCTTAGTTTTTTTGTTTGTTTGTTCTTAGTTTTTTTTATAATAAAAATAAATTTTTTGTTTTTTTAAATCATAGTTAAACCAGCTGTTGAGTCAAAATCTAAAAATAAAGAAACTAAGTCAGAAGATAAAGAAAAAAAATCTGAAGAACAAGAAATAAAGAAAACTCTGAAGCCAGTGCCCCCTGATTTTAAAGTAAGTAACATAAATTAACTATATAGACAAAAATATAATTAAGATCTTTGAAGTTAACCCTTTAAAAGTTCTTTTAAAATGTTAACATCAGTTTATTATATATTTTTTTGTACATTTAAAGATATAGCAATATCATAAAAATACAGTTAACTCAAGATAAGTCCAATTTCTTAGGAACCAAGAAAAACTTGCAATATCTCTAGAATAACACTAATTTTGTGGCAAACTGAGTCTATCACAGCATTGTTATCTTGTCATCAGCATGATTTTGGCAGCATTCTTTACTTCTTCAATCAGCTATTCATATGCAAGCAAAGTACTCTATGTTTTCAGCTGCAGAAATGACATCTTCAGTTGTTGTACCTGCTGTATTTCAATGGTGCTGCCAAGATGAATTTTTCCCCCTTAAGCCTCAGATCAAAAATTAAGTGACTTATTAGATTGCATATGTAAAAACAACCCAAATTCATCTGCATTATAAATTTCATCACGTTTTTACCTGGATAGAGTTAAAGGGAGAGTTGCTTCCTTACATGGGGTAGTCATTTAAGCCATGCATAATTCTTCTGTCTTAAAAGAAACACACTTGTCATACTTCTTTTAAACCTGTTATTTTCTGAAAAATATTAGCCGCAGGGGCATAAAGTGTTCAACTTTTGATTGGAAGTTTTGATTCGGGTTCAAGAGGAGTTCAAAACACTTTGATTTGCTGGAAGTTTGAGTTATTGTGGGTTCAAGAGGAGTTCAAAACACTTTGATTTGCTGGAAGTTTGAGTTATTGTGGGTTCAAGGGGGAGTAAACTATGTGTTAGTATAATATAATAACATTAAATGATAGAATAGAGTAAAATAATTTTTTTTTTTAGTTTATTGAAATTTTAAAATTAATGAAGTATTACAGGTTTAAATATAAATTAATTGTCAACACCAAAACTACTATTTTTGAAATGTTTTTTTCAGAAAACATTAGTTTGTGATCACTACTTTAAGCAAGGCTCAAATTAATGCAAAAAAATGTAATCAAAAAATTTTTTTTTTAGTTTCTACTCCTCCTTTTGTTGCTTTTCTCTCATATTTAAATATTATCTCAAAATATTTTTGTTTAGATAATATGATAGATACTAACTAGGTACTTAAACAAGTAAAAGTAAAAACGCAAATAAAACAATAATTAAACCCCTTTAAATAGTTAAAAAAAACTATTTTATAAGTAAATTTACTGTGATGTACTTTATCCATTAAGTACACTTAACTTTTTAACTCACTCAGAGATTTATTTAATATTCAAAAGCTCTTTATGTTGAATGAACAGTCTCCACACAAATGAGCAAATAATCTTACTTCTATTTATAAGTTAAATTTTAAAATATCTTAATTCTCTAAAAATAAATAAAATAATAACAATTGGTTACGAAGTATAACAAATTTTACAGTGCGAAAATGAGTTAATATTTAACTTCACACAAGTACTGTGTAAAATAGTAGCTTTCAAGTCACATTTTGAAAAATAAAGAAGACTGTTTGTTATCTACCTTTCTATTATCATTGCATAAAGCAATGAAAAGTGTTTATTGAAATCTAGATGTTTTATTTATCTTAGAAATAATGTACCTTGCATATGATTTTTTTATACAATTTATAAAAATATCTGCTAAACAAATAAACAAATGTTTTTCTCCTGTCAGCTATGATCTACCAAATATTGCTTTGTGATTGACCGGTTTCCGCAACAGTTCAATTGTGACATGAGGTGTGTTAACTTTTTGTTACAGTATATTGTTGTTATGTTGCACAGTGGTAAAAAGTGTTACAAATTACACAGTAGCAAAGCCTTATAAAAGTGGCCTATATAAAAATATTTAAAACATTTTTTTTATACTGATTATAATATATAAAAATATAAAGGTTTGTTATTTATGTTTACTAACAGAACTTACATCGATTTAAAAGATGTCATTTTTGTGTTAAATTTATACTAAAAAAGTACAAAAATTACAATTTTTTTTAATCATTCATAAAATAAATAAATTTTTTTTGTCAGGATGTAAGTAAAAAAAAAAACTTTTGAAAATTTTTATTAAAAAATGCAACTTGTGATTTTGAAAACTTTTGAAATATACCAAGCTAATCTCAATCTTTCTACTTAATTTCTCAAGAAGTTCAGAGGCATATATTTATGCATTATTATAATTTTTCACCTACTTGTGCAGCTTCTTCTTTTTTCTTTTTTTATTTGTATAAAAAATATAAAAATTCAAAAAAGTAAAAACTTTACTTTTTTTGTTTTAAATGTATACATAGATTCATTTTTCATTACAAAATCTTTGTTAAACAACTTTTTTTCATGATTTTCATCTTCACTGCCAGAGAGCTCAAAACAATTTTTTTTTGTTTATATTTTCATATACTACCATTGGTATATGTTACTTATACTGATACTTCATCATAACTACCAATTGTTACATCAAAGCTAGCGTGAATGTTTTTCTTTCATGTTATTCCATGTTCCATGCACAGCCCTTTATGATCCATCTTATGTAACCATTACATATACACAAATATGTCTTTTTAATATTTTTAAGTAAAATAATATATATAAATTTTTTTTTTTCTTTTTTTTTTTTTCTTTTTCGTTTTTTGAATTATTAGTTTTTTTAGTTTTTTTAGTTTTAAATTCTTAAATCTGATTTTTGTTATTTTAGGTTGCTAAATTATTAGTATCTATTAAAAAAACTACTAGTTTGGATAATGATGTTTTGCGAAAATCAAAGTTAATTGAAAATCTACCCATTGATGTTTCAAGTCTTGATTCAGTTAAGCATGTTAAAGGGCGCTCTAGTGTTAACAAATTTTACAAACAGTTTGAAGAATCTAAAGTTGTTTTAGAAGATTATTGTCATTTATTAAGAAGATGTGTCAAGGATAAAAATGCCCTTTCTGCAACTTTATTAGCTGGAGAGGCATATTATGAAGCAGCACAAGAGGAAGCTAAAATTATTGTTAATGTGAGTTCCTTTATTTTCTAAGAATATTTAAATTTTTATAATTTATGTAAACAAATTTTATTTTTTTGTTATTGTTATTGAATAATTATTTCTTTAATGTAATTTTATAGTTGCACCTTTGGTTTTTTGTTGCTTGGTAAATTTTTGTTGTTGTCTTTAGGCGTATAAAACATTTGGAAATCGTCTAAAGTCTATGAAAAAAAAACTAGAAGCCAAGATTAAAAAATTAGAAGAAGCCAATTCAACTTTAGGTTCTCAAAACATGAAAGTAAACACTTCTTTATATGATAATGATTCATCACAGGAGTCTGTTTCTGAACCTGTATCAAGCGATGATAAAACATCAGCAATCAATCACAGTTTCAGTAATGCTAATGAAAGTAATATTGAAGACATGGATTTAGGTTTATTTTTAATTATATTTTAGTTCATTATCTATTTCTTTATTTCTTTTCGTTTATTCAAGTAAACACAGGTTTTCATATAAATTTTGTATTGTTTTTATTGACATCAGAAATTATTAGCAAAATTTATGTTTTAGATAGTAATTCTGATGATGATGCTAATGTATCAGAAGCTTATAATCCTGAAACAGCTCCTCTTCATCAAACATCTAGTTTTTCTCAAGACACGCCATCATTTTTAAACATTGAAACAATGAATGGAATGTCATCTTTCTTAGACAGAACTGGAGCTAGTACTGTTTTAGATTTATCTCTACAGAAAACCTTGCCAACTAATGAAGAAATAAAAACTACTAGTTTTTCTGCTCCTTATTCAGCATCTTTTTCAACACCTTTTACGTTGCATACTGGTAGGTAATTTTACCTTCAAGTTGATTTTGATGTTGTTTAGTTGTTGTATTGAATGTTTGTAATGCTATTTTTATTCACTGTTTAAACAAATTTAGTATATTAAATCCTTTTTTATTAAGTTTTCGTTTTGCTTGTTTTATTTTTGCTATTTAAATTTGTTTTAGCTACTCAATTATCTACTTCTGATAATTTTTCGAAAATTCAAGAAAATGCTCACACACTTCAAACTGCGTTATCAAGTGTAAGCACCTTTTCAAGCGTAGCCACCTTGCCAAGTGTAACCACCACTTATTCTTTATTACCATCGACTTCTAGTTTTACTAACTCTACAATTACTTTTCATTCTAATATATTTAAAAACGTTTCCGAAGCAGATACTCCAGTAACTCCTGTTCTTGATGAAGGTATATCAAAGCAACATGTTGTTGGCAATGCTGATAATAAACCTTTGCAAAACTTAATTGATTCACTTTTTCCAATGCTCAGCAAAAGTTTACAAACTATAAAAGAAAAAACAGCAAAATCAGAGGAGATACAACCTTCTGTTAATGATGCTATAACGTTTGCATTGTCTGGAAGTAACGAGGAAGCTCCAAAAAAAAAAGGACGCTTTGTGCCAATAGTGTCAGACATGAGGGTTTCTTCGCCTTTATCGCTTACTAATCCAACAGGGTTGTCAGAAAATCAAACAGAGTTAATAAATATCGCTGCAGGCATTACAAAATTTGATGATAACTTTTTGCCGTTATCCAGTAGTTCAGAAACCGCTTCTATTAGTAGTGGACAAAATTCTACAATGTTACTCAGACAGAACTCTAATGATGATCAATCTAAAGATGACGAAGAAAAAATGGATAAAAAAGAAAAAAAGTCAAGGCATAGCTCTAGCCGACATCGATCTCATCGCGAAGAACATAAGCGCTCTGCAAGTCGTAGTCCTTCTCGTAAGAATTCTCACAAAACTCGTGAGGGCAGCCGGAGTCCCAATCGAAGGTCATCTCATCGTTCAACTCGTGACTATCGAGATGATAAATTTGTAGATAGGCGACGTTCGTCGCGCAGATCTTCAAGTCCTCGTAGTAGGCGTAAAGGTAGATCTCATCGCTCTACTTCTAAAGATAAAGAAGATAGAAAGAGGCGTTCTCCTGCCACTAAACCTTACTATAACGATCGCAGATCTCCAACTCCAGAGATGGATGGCAGTTTGCGAGCATCTTATTCTGCAAACATTCCTCAAGGTCAGTTTGATCAGAGTATGCAAAATCAATCTTTTTCAATTGGTCCTAATGTTAGTCAGTCACAACCAGGCGATCACAAAGATAATCAGGCAGTTATGGTCAGTTCAGGTCAGCCGTCTTCATCGCACCAAAGTAATCATACTTTAAATCAATCAATGAATCTTAAGTCTTTAAATTCTATCCCGAACATGCCGGTTCCGGACATGTCTGTATTTCTTCAGCTCGTGAATTCAGTACGACCTGGTCTACCATTGACTAGTATAGCTCCGCCAAATATGTCTTTTGACATAAATGGAACACCTATCATAAATCCTGGATTGCAGTTAACCCATGGAAACTCTCTTCATATTATACAAACCAATCCCCAAGATAATATTTTAAATTTACACCCACTCCCACACGGTGTTTTACCATTTCAGAACCATAATCTTTTATTACAAAATCAATCAGCTCAACATCAAACTGAGTCATCACAGGAAATTAGTATAATGCCAAATAAACAAAACAATCAAGATATAGAAAATTCTATTAAAGATCTATCCGATTCCACTCGTGAAAACTCAGGTATGGAGTATCGCGTTTCCCATCAAGCTAATAAAAGAGAAAATAAATTGTTTGGACCTAGTAATCCACCACCTTTTCCAGGCCCTCCACCTGTATTTGAAGGTATTCCGCCATCAATAGTGACTTCAAACTTTGAGATACCTCCAAATTTTGAACATTTTTCTCAAGAAGGAATATCGACCTTCGGTCTTCCGACCTCTTTTGATACTTATAGGCCGAAATTTGCCGAACCAGATCCTCTGTTAGAACAGTTGGAGAAGAGTAACCCTTTTCCTGGGGCGCTTCATCTTAATTCTTTACCACCACGATTTATTAATAATAATAGTCCTATTTTTAGGCCAAGATACAATAACCGTAATGGATCACCCAGGTTTAGACCTAGGTTTGATCATAGATTTCCTTTTAACGGACGGCCTGCGATGCTTTAGTTGTGATATGCAAGGATTTTATGTTTTTGTTGTACTGTTTAATAATTTGCTAAATTTTTAAAAAAAGCCTCAGAATATTTGCAGTGAATATGATTTCGTTTCTTTAAGCGGTATTGCCAAAAATTGTCATTTTAGAAATTATAAAGCTTTTGATGACTGTAAAGTTTTTAATTATTGTTGCCTATTTGTTACTATTTTGTTGTTTTTTTAATTATAAAAATTATTAAACTTATAATTCTAGTATATATAATTAGTATAGAACGTTCAAGTATATAAGTTAGGTTATTCAAATTAATGTTTATAAAAATAACAATTTTGATTGTTAAGGAATTTTTAATATAAATGTTTATAGTATTAGATAGATAAGATAAATTATTACGCACTTTTAAAATAGTGGTATGAATCTTTTATGTTCGCGCAAGTTGACCGTTACTCCTGTAACTGTTTTTACCTCCTTTAGAATTTTCTGGTATTCAAAGAAACTGCTCATCAGGCTTACATATTTATTATATTAAACGATGTTATAATGCCTCGTTGTCATTGTATGCTCTCGTCTAAATGATGTTTTTTGTTTTATAAAATAGTTGTAAATTAAGATAAAATATTTTTAGCTCGATATAAAATGTAGTTTCAAAAAACTTCTATTCTAATTGGAAACCTGCTCTTGTCCAAATGGCCTGTAGGAATTAGAAAAAAAAAAATAATAAATAAAAATTTCTTTGTACCAAAGTTAAATCTTATTTTGTTCAAAAATCACACCTACTTAAATTATAATTGTAATTTAAGTAGGCCATGAATAAACAAAATAAAGTATAAATCAAAACAACCTTAGTACTTTTTTTTTTTCATTTATTTTTTAGTTTACAATTATTAATCGTAATATAACAATATATAAACTTGGTATCTGAAAGAAGATCCAAATGATCTTGTCGCCAGAACCATATATATCACACGTGTATATATAATAAAATAAAAATGCAATTGATCTAATAGCTATTAACAATGTAGAATAAACAAAAACTGAAAATAATTTTACAAATTATCCAGAGTGTAGAAAAATGTACATTTCAAAAATATTTATACATGTTGCCAGTAGAAAGAATATAGTTTTAAAAACGGAAAACAAAATTGACAAATCAAAATTTGAAACAACAATTATATTCCATAAATACGGTGCTCGATAGTTTTTGCAAAATTGATTAAACTTGAAATGAATTGGAGATTTTACGAATGAACTGTGTAATGGCTTGTTCAGTTGAACAATTTTTTTTTAAACCGAATTAATTTTTATATAGAAGTTTATTTAAGGTGGTAGAGCACAAAAAAGACACTTTTAATGAAAAATTAAAAAAAAAGTTTTAAAAATATGCAGAAATGCTTTACTAAGAAAAATAAAATGTTTTTGCAAAAAAAAAATTTTGAAAAAATTAACCAAAAATTCATAATGGCGCAAAAACAGTGTAAATTAAGACAAAATTCTTATGTTTTTAAAACACGTTATCTTGAGTTAGACTTAAAAACCATGAATCAAACTTGACAGATCTGTTGATGACCTTATTTTACTCCATTTAACAGATAGATTTTTAATTATTCCTTTTATATGTAAAAATATGACCTTTTTTTTAAGATAAGTTAAATTTTGCACAATTTACAAGCAGTTTAAAGAAGTTAAAACTAAAAAAAATGAGTTTTAAAAATAATTAAAAAAAATCTATCTGTCAAATGAATTCTAATGGTGTTGGGAATATGTCCAGAAAATTTCAGAACAAAAGCTTTATTCAATTAGAAAAAATCATGTTTTGAAATTTCGATAAAATATGAAAAACTCAAGTTGCAGAAAAAACAAAAATAAGTACAAAATAAAGAAAAAATCACATTTAAACAGTAAAATCATGTTAAAATCCTCCTGAAACATATGAGTCTTGAGGTTCCTTTGCTTTAAGATTCTTACTGAATCCTTTTTTTATTGCTCTCAGTTTTTTTCTCTGTTTTTTTGCCATAATATTAGTCTTACGTTTCATCTGTTTTACTCTTACATTATCTGCTAAACTTGTTGTCAATTGTGTAACATTTCCTTGTATATTAAAATGCTGTAATACTTTAAATACACCACTTCTACCATCATTGAAATGTAAAATGGCAGAGTTTACACCCATTTCCACAACATCTTTACTAACAAATGTGGTTTTGGGTACCTTGGACCATATGAGTGAGTTGAGCGCTTCATTTGAATTTTGTGTTTGACCATGCAAACATTTCAACAGCAAGTCATCTTTCTGTAAGTCTATAAAAATGGGTGTAATGAGATTTTTGATGAATAGAGGAATAGATATATTTGGTTTGTAACTTTTACTTAGAGTCCAATATTTGCACCAAGATGAATCATTTCGTGGACAAAATTGATGTCGTTCAGGATTTGGAATATCTGTAAAATGAAAAACTATTGCATAAACAGCTTTCTTCATTGCATACAGATTATCAAGGTTATTTCTAATGGCGCAACCAAAGTAATTTTGCATTGAGTTAATGCAACTTTTAGTAAGCTTCCCTATTCCTGAGAGAGGTGTTTTAGTGCCTTTATGAGACTTGACAATGTTACGCAATCGAGTACCTAATCGTTTTTGGACATGAGCAATGCACTCCAACTTTATTGGCATTATATCATATTCACTATATGGGTTGGCTTTTACTACATCCTTAAAAGAACTTGTATCACCATCTCCTAAGTATTCCTTATAAATAAGAGTGTTCTTTAAAACAGAACGCTTAAATATGTCAACTGCTCCAGCTGATTCCATTGCACCTGATGACCCATTATGGTTAATTTGGCAGTAATGGTTAACTTTCCAATGATTATATTCAGCTGTATTTTCTTTTCCTATCCACATTCTGCAACCATAGCAATGTCTTGATTTTATTTCTATATCAACACATTTGTCTGCTGCTATAGCAGTGATCACCCCATGCAAAGATGAATGACCACGCTTTTGCCATGATCCATCAATTGATATCCAAACACATGGAATACCTTTGACAGTTTCAATTTGAGGAGCTTCCTTTGCTGCTGTTTGCATGCTATCTGTGGCAGCATTCTTATAAGCTTTCATAACTTTTTTGTTGATACGACAAAATCCATTTTTTGACAAACATTTAAAGTTCATCAAAGATGCAAACGTACTTATTGATGAAAAACCACAGCCAATTTCACGGAAAGCTATTACAGAACGTACATTTACCTCGTATGTATTTCGACCTTTAGTTTCCTCTTTCTTCTTTATCTCTGGGGAAGTATTAATTCTTATATTCCATAAACAATTATTACAGTTTATTGTTAGAACATGAGAGAATCCTTGTCGTTTTAAAATATCATCTTTTACAACAATGTTACAAAAACATTCTGGACATACAAGAGTTTGCAAAATGCTTTTGAGTAGGTAAAAATGCACAATAATAAAATATTCTTCTGTTTGTGGAGAAGAATTAGTAGAAAATTTAGTTTTTGTTTTTGAAGAAAGTTTCCTTTCACTTGAACATATAGATTTGATACAAGAATTATCAAAAACTTCAACATTCTTTGGAACTATGCCATTCCATGCTCTCTTTTTTCTTCTGCTAACATTTTGTTTATTTGTTTTTTTAGATTTCATTTTCTTTCCTATTTATTATTTACGATAGACTTTATAATTTATTAATAGTTGATAATAAATCTCTAAAACAATACTAACAACAATAGGGCCTAATACAACAATAACAACATGAATCTTAAACTTGTGCTACAGCAAAACTCTCAACATTCGAATTTGTTTAAAAGCAAAGTTGATAAACAAACAATTTTAAGCATGATAGACATAACAAAAAGACAAATTAGCTTGCAATTTTGTTCAACATATATAATAAAAGAAGATATGTTTGTGGTTGCTAGGGCGTTGCTAAGGTAAAAAATGTTGCAAATGTAGATTTTTATCACATTTCAAAAAACAATTTCTGTTCCATACATGCATCAAAAGAAAGAGGATAAAATTTTGAATAAAATTAACTAAAATAAAATTTTTTCATATTTTGATCAAAATTTTGTATTTTAATTGTGCTCTACCACCTTAAATTAAGCTAATTGTATGTTCTATTGTATATAATTCTTTCTAAAATTTTTGAGAAAGTTGAAACTGAGATAGGGCGATAATTACTAATATTTGATTTTTTTCCGTTTTTGTATATAAGAGTAACTTTAGCTATTTATAATTGGTCGGGGAATACACCTTGATGTTTACATGCCCTGAAGTTATATTTTGTCTTGATGTTTACATGCCCTAAAATTATATTTTGTCTTTCGGGGTTATTAGAGGATACAGTATGGATTGTTAGAAAAATGGGGAAATGATCGGATGTGTCGGTTTTTATAATTCCTTTTGTAATTTCCTATTATAAATATCTGTTGTAAAAATATTATCAACCAACGTCGTTGAAGTTTTGGTTGTTCTAGTAGGGCGATTAATTAAAGGAAGAGCTCCTGCCATAAATATTTCATCATAAAAACTTTTTGCTTTTTTACCTTTATTATAAATTAAGCAGTTCATGTTGAAATCTCCAATTATAAAAGTAATTTTGTTTTCTTTGCTACCTTAGTGAATGATATTTTGCTGTAAAAAGAAACTAAGATTTTCTGTACTAAAATTTTTCAGTACTAAAGGTATTTTAGGTGTTGAAGAGATAATATAATATATATTTGCTGTAACAACAATATATACATTGTTGCAGAGCAACAATGTATATATTGTTGTTACAGCAAATGAGATAATATAATAGCCGTTAATGTTATAAATTGTCATAACTTTAAAAATAATTTCTTTTATTTTTCATTTAAAAAAAGAATAAGATAAAGAAGATAAGTTTTCATTTATTATGACTCCTAGTAATTATGTAACTTTTTTTTCTTTTTAAGATTGTACTGTCAATAAATAGGTCAGGCAAGATATTTTTAATTTTCTTTTCTTTTTAGATTTTAGGATAAAAAAGTATCTATAATGTTTTATTGGTATTAAAATACAATCATTTTTTTTTGAATCGATATGAAATTTTTTTATAGTTCTTCAGTCATATTATTAAAAAGTATTTTAATATCTTTGTGTGACTGGAATAGATTAGTATCATCCGCAAAAATTATAGTTGTTATGTTAGCAGCTATATAAAGATTATTTTTATATATTAAAAATAAGAGTGGCCCAAGTATGGATCGTTGGGGAACACCACATGTTCGTTATATTCGTTAATAATTGCGTTTTTTACAATTACTATAATAATTTTAGAACCTATTTAGAAGTTTATCATCAATAAAATAACTGCACATTATGTTATACATTATTCTTTCTAATATTTTTAAAAAGACTGGTAGAACTGAAATAGGACGATAATTTGTTACGTTTGTAAGGCTGTTTTAAAGGTTTGAGTTACTTTTAAGAAAACTTTTTATTTGTTAAGAAGCGACAGTTATTTAGCAATAAAATACTATTTAAAATTTTTTTTTTAAATTTCGCTTCTTTTGAGTACGCTTAACATGATTTTAACGAATTTTTTTTCGCCGGATAAACGGACTCATTAAATTTTCAAGGGTCAGTTGGAACTCTTGAATTATTTTTGATTTTAAAATTTTTTAAATCCAGTCTTTTTTTATTATATAGAAGAAATCTAGGGGTTTAACAAACAGTCGTGTTTAACTTATATATTAGATCAAATAGTTGATGTTGAAGCTACATTAACTAAGTAGTTAATATTTTTGCATTTTTGCAAATTACTATTGTTACTTTTAAATGAAACTTGTTGTAATTTTTAAGTATAATGCAACAGCAATTTTTTATTCTGTATAAAAATGTATTCATGTGATACTGATCGAATTTCTTTTTTAATTTTTGTTTTAGTTGCCCTAAGAAGACCCAACGGTCTTGTCCCAAAGCACCGCCCACCACGTACCTTGTCACAAGTTCACCCTTCCTTTCTTATCGATGGCGCGAAATATGTAAAAAGTTCGTTTCAAACCCTACCAGTGGGCGTATGAAGTGTTTTAGCCGTCTAAAAAATAAATTAAAAAGTTTTATACAAGGCGCGTTTATGACGTTTTTTTGATGTTTACAGTCTATGATTTAAGCCTTAAAGCTAAAACCGTAGGCTGCAAACATCAGTCTAATTTTAACTGCTGGAGTATAAAGACGTCTTTATACATGGCTGAGTTTGCGCCTTTAAAACCGTTTTTGCTATGAATTCTTTTATATTACTTCCACCGGAAGACAACAGCATCTGAGGCTCATAGAATATTAGTGGAAACATAAGGCGACAATGCTCTTTCAGAACAAACATGAAAATATTGACTTCTTTTTTTTTAATTTTTTTTTTTAATTGTGCTCTGTGATAAGTCTTTACGGTCTTATTACAGAGCACCGCGGATAAGCATTTAATTGGAAGTTCACACCTCCTTCCTGACCGATGTCGCAAAACTTGCCCTGAGGTGGGATTTGAAACAGGGATCCTTTTGGTTCTGAGGCAAGTGCGCTACCACTGCGCCACGGCTGCTTGGCTTCGACAGGTGATTATGACCTGGAAGATGAAGAACATCCTGGTAATGAAAAAAAGTTTGAAGATACCAAAGAAGGCATTTTGATCAAGATACCAAAGGAGTTATTACTTGATGAAGATTGATGCCAGACGCAGAACTTGCGAAAACATTAGTAGCCGATTAATCAATAGTTTATAGGTGCTTGAAACATTTGGCAATGATTCAAAAGCAAGGAAATTGGGTGCTATATGAACTAAAACCGAGGGACATCAAAAGACAATTTTTTAATATAAATGTTTATAGAAATAACAGAATACATGTACATTGTGTTGACAAATGAGGAAATAACAGAATACATGTACATAAACAGTTGCTGTTATGTAATCTTTAAGAGCTCTACAGCCAATTCAAAGTTGTAAACCCTGAGATTAATGTTGGAGTTTCTAAATTTTGCAGTCTGCAGTGGTTTGTATCTGTTGTAAGTGAAACTAGATAATTTTACCATTGCATACCTGTCTCAAAAACATTTATGTTATATAAGAACACTAGCACTATACCAGCGACGATATAAAATAACAAATCTATCAAATATAAACAAAAATCCAAGTAAACTAAATGAAAATAAAATAAATTTTGAGCTAATGCACAAGCACGAATATTACGAATGTGCGTATGATTTGTTTTAGTGGATTGCAGAAAAAGATAAAAAATATAATAAAAAAGTTTATGCATCAACATGGTCTATCTGAACAGTTTTTCTAGCCAAAAAACGATAGATTATGTTGAATATCAATCAAGAATATCATAAACAAGTGTACCAAAAAAAAAAAACTAATCTTTGAGATTCTGAAAAAAGATTTGGAACAAAATCATAAAATGTTAACTGGTATAGTAATAAAATTTTAAATTTATTTAAAAATATATATTGGTTATAATAAACATAAAAAAATTTATATAAATTTTTAGAAGGATTTTTATTTTTTTATATAATATATAAATATAAAAATTCGATACCAAGAAGGATAGTATCGTATCACTCGCTACCGAAAAGGAAAGTCTCGTACCGTGTGGTATCGCTTAGGAAATAATGTCGATACCATCAGTATCGGTTCGAAATCGCACGATACTGATAATAAAAAAATTGTATGGTATTGAATGGTCGCATAGTCTTGATAAGAAAAAAAAAAAAATAATACCATAAATAATCTCGATATTGATCTTGTTAAGTATAGCACCGATACCAGATGATTAACTAAGACTCGATAACGATTATCTAGTGTCTAACAGAGACCTCTTATTTCACATTATAATATTTAAAAATTTTTCATTGATATTTATCTAAGATAAAAAATTGTTTAGACACGTTAATAAAAAAACACGTTATTAAAAAACCGTTTTTAGGAGATATTACGCTATATTAAAAATGTAATTTAATTCATTATAAAAACAGATTTAGACGTAGTTCATTTGAAAAATCATTAGGATTCATAAATCCATTTTACAACGATTTCTATTATTCGTTTTCTAATAAGTAAATATCTTAAGAAAATTGCATTTAACATTTTGATTATACAAAAATAAACTTCAGTCCGGATAAATATAGCCACCGATATTATGTTATATAGTGTCACTCATACACTTTGTGGTTTAAATTATTTACAAATCCTTTTCCTCTCTTCGTTGTTTTGTGTGTTTGTCATTGATACGATCATTCCATTTGCTCTCAATAAAATTCCAAACAGAATCAAAAGCTTTCCAAGATGTTTCCTCGTGCACGGGGGTACCTTTGAAAAAAATCAAAATAAGGATTTAATTTAAAATTACTTTTTTTGTCATAAATGAAATAATACAAATAAAGATAAAAAATATTGAAAATTATACTATGAAACAACCTGCAGAATATCTCGGACAATCTCCATCACGGTAAGACAAAACTTTATCAAGTTCAGCGCTACTTGAAACCCAGTTACGAACGTTCTAAAATTATAAAAAAGAAAACATCCGAGAAGAAGAAAAAAGAATTATTTCCAGTACGTCATTTATCATACGTCATATAAATATCATATAAATATCATTTAAATGTAAAAAAAACTATTTAAATAGGTAAATTTACAGTTTTCATCCAAACATTCAGCCTATTATCTTTAGGGCTCAGGTGATGAACAGAGTCTGTTAAGGCAACAGCAAATGTTTTGTCAACCATTTCTGGATTATTTAGAGCCTACAACATAATTCAAAAAACTCTACAATCATCTGCATGGCTTGAAAAAAAATGTATAACAAGCAGATAATGCATACGAAGATATATAATTAAAAATAAGATGAAATATTTACCCCTTCCACTGTAATCACTCCGCCATAACTATGTGCAACAATAGCCACATGCTTTGCATTAGACCGAGATATAATCTGTTTCCAAACATAATCAAAATGATCGTTGGGAGTTTCGCTTCCCTTGAATAAAATGTATGACGTATATAATGTACGTTAACTATGATTCTTAACTTGTAAATACTTTTTATATTATAGGTAAGCCAAAAAGTAGAAACAAAGGGAGGAAGAGGGGGAGAGACGAAGGTAATTTATGCGGGGCTAAATTTAGAAAAAAATTCAAGGTAAGGTTAAAATTTTATGTCCGTTGCATAGCTTTATAATTAGCAACTATTAATTAATATATTATTCTTTTCAAGTGCAACAAATAATCAGTATTGAATGGATTTTATAAAATAACAGTGATTTTCTCTTTAGAACGCGTAAAGGACGCTCACTTTATAAGCCAACATTTAATGCAATGAAAACACATATTATTACCGAAAAATTATTTTCTTACAGCGCATTTCAAGAATTTCAAATTTAATTTCAAGAAATCTTGTCAAATTCATGTTATTTGGACAATTCCACAAAAAAAGTTACGTAAGTCAAATTTCATTTCAGTTATAAGTTTGTCCTTATTTTGCCTGAATTAAATCAATTCAGTTTGTTTCATTCTACAGAGTTTGTTTTCTTATTTGTTTTATTCTACAGAGTTTGAAAAACAAATAAGCGAAAAAGTTTTAAGTCTGGTAAAAAAAGGGCGATTTTGTTACCGAAATAAAATTTAACTTGCGTTATGTTTTTTGCGGAATCGTTCTTATATAACATGAATTTCACATTTCTAAAAATTTCATAGGAAACAGGAAAAAAGCATATAAATTATATATATTTTTTAAAATATTATTTCAAATTAAATAATCGTTTACATAGAAAAAAAAAGTGTTCAACATGGTCATTTTGACCAAAATAAATTGTTTTAAAGTTATAATTAAGATGTCTTTGACTAAGTTTTACGTCCTTAAAAGTAAAACTGCCCTAATTAGATTAGTATATTTCATAAGTTGACGAAAAAGATAACTTATTATTTTTTAAATTACTTTTCTTATAAAAATGAAATCTTAAACTAAATTAATAAACAATAAACTGATTTATAGCTTTTGATTTTAAACATAACTAAACATTACACTTACTTTTAAGAACATCTCGGAATTGTCATAAATCCATCTATATAATTAGTGATTCAAATTTATTCTTTTAATAATCAACTATATCTTTACCAGATATTATTTCTACAGGAAAAGTTCAATAAATTAAAAAAACCTTTTAAATACTATTTTTTTCTAGACAAGTTAGCCTGATTTTTAAATGAGATAGCAACCTTGTTAGAGAACTAGGATATGGCAAATATTATTAAAATTATAATGATTCCGTCTGTCGATGAAACCCTCACTGATGAAGACAGTGATGATGAAGAGGATAGAGATTATGGAATGGACATAAATCATCATAGAGGTGGTATTCTTAACCAGCAAGCAGAGATGGTCTTAAATAACAAAGATGGCAGCAATAACCATAAATATAGGTAACCAGCAAGCATATATAGATAACCAGCAAGCAAAGATGATGTGTTACCTGACATTCAAATGGTAAGTAAAAAGAGCAAAACGTTTTACATATTAGTTTTATCATGGAGTAAAAGCATTAAATTTATTTTTGTTTGGAAAAGATGCATCAATCTGAGTATGTCAGTGTCTATGAGAAAATAGTCAGGTATGTTTGACCTCACCCATTAAAATAGTCAGGTATCTTTGACCTCACCCATTAAAGCAAGCCATTCGAGAAAAGCCTGAGTGGTAACATTGTTTTTATTTGCTGACTTTTTTTTAGACAATATCTACAAACAATGCAGCACAGCATATTAAAATGGCTGAAAAATAGGTCTCTGGCAACTGCTGAGAAAGAGCTTTTAGCTTGCCAGCCTTAAGCTGGATTAAAACCAAAACTTGGGCATGGTCTCAATGTTGTTTGAATCTTTCTGAGCAGTATGGATAGAAAAAGGGGACCAAAGTGATAACCTTTTTACATGATTTGATCTTCTTGATGTGGTAACATATGATCAAGAAGATCAAATAATTAGAATAAGATCAAATAGATAGAATATTGTAGGTCAGTAATTTAGTAATAGTAATACATTTGAATTGTGACCAATAATTAGAATAAGATCAAATAGATAGAATATTGTAGGTCAGTAATTTAGTAATAGTAATACATTTAAATTGTGACCAATAATTAGAATAAGATCAAATAGATAGAATATTGTAGGTCAGTAATTTAGTAATAGTAATACATTTGAATTGTGACCAATAATTAGAATAAGATCAAATAGATAGAATATTGTAGGTCAGTAATTTAGTAATAGTAATACATTTGAATTGTGACCAATAATTAGAATAAGATCAAATAGATAGAATATTGTAGGTCAGTAATTTAGTAATAGTAATACATTTGAGTTGTGACCAATAATTTGGTGAGTGTACCAAATACACTAGACAGCTATACCATTATTCAGCAGAGTTAAATTATTTAAAATTCATATGTCAAGTTTAGCTTTAAAAGAGTTCACAGAAATAGCATTAACAACATCAGTGTGTTGTTGATTCCAGTAAAAAGATGCTCTGTTTGTTAAAAAATAATGCTGAGGCAAAAAAACTAATTATTTCACGATTATATTTCATTTGATGACATCTTGCTGATTGATAACTTCTTGGCAAAATTTCATTAATTAAATTTACCTTTTCAATTCCATTGAATAACTTGTACATTTGAATAAAGTCACTCCTAATCCATCTTACAACTAAAGAAGTGAAACCAATTTTATCTCATCTTTTCTCATAACATAGTTTTTTTAATGGCGATTAAAAAATAAATATTAAAATATTCTTGTAGCACAATGCTGTATTTTTAGTAATTCACTATTTAAACTTAAAAGTGTATTCCTTAACATACTCAAAACATTATTTGCTTTACTTGCACATAGAGCTATTTTTTTTTCCATTTTAAGTCAAAGGTAAATACTACACCAAGATCTTTTTTAGCGACAGTGGTACTTAAAGATATAATTAGCATAAAATTAGTTCTGTTTGGGTTATTTTTAACCAAAGTGCATTATCAAACACTTATCAAAATAAAACTTCAATAGCCATTCGATAGACCAGTTGACAGCTTTATCTAGATCATTTTGCAATAGGTTAACACTTGCTTCACAACCAACCCATAATAATATTTTTGCATTATAAACATACATCTTTGAAATATTAACAAAGTTCTAATTAATATAAATAATAAATAGTAAAGTCCAATAACAGAGTCCTGCGACACACCATTAAATATATCCTTCAAAGATGAGACAATTTCTCTCATGACAACTCTTTGTCTTCTATTTTTAAGAAATGCTTGAATCCATTTTAAAAATGTACCAGAAATCCCATAACATTTAAGTTTTATCAGTAGTCTTTTATGGGGCACTGAATCAAATACCTTTGCAAAGTCTAAGTAAATTAAATCTACAGGTATATTGTGAGATAAATGATACAAGATTGCGACTAATGTCTCAATAAAGTAGGTCGAACAATATCTTTTCTTAACAAAGCCATGTTGATTTTTCGAAAAAAGATTATTTGCATTTAGGAAATTCATAATTAAATCTCGCAAAATCTCTTCTAGAATTTCACAAGGTACAGAATTGTTCATTTATTTAAAATATTATGAAATAATTTCATTTTAACTAGCCTATTGAAAAAAAAAAAAAACTAGATGAAATTGTTTTTTAGGTTATTAGGTGGTATATAGATTCTATTGGTTGACAGTTTTGTACTCCTTCTATAATACATTTTATAATATATTGTTTCCAGTTTAGGCTGTTGAATGCTGGATCTTCTTGACTTAATGCATATGTTTTGCTTGCGCCTCTGTTTTAATGACTAGACAACTCATTCTATCATCTCTTAATAAGGGTACAGCTCTAAAACTCAGTTTTATAGTTCTGAGGCCAGCTGGAAGTCAGGTTTCCCAAACTCTGCGTTAGCTCTCAGAGAGCCTGATTCTATCAACAGCTGTAAAGAATCAGAGTACTAGCAGTGCCATGTTGCGCATGGATGGTGCCCCTGTTCGTAATTTTAGTGTGCATTGCTGAGGCCATTTTAGGAGCCCTTTTTTAACAAATCTGAAATAGACAAAAGTACCAAAAACTAAAAACACAAAAAACAATCATCATTACCAAAATCTCTAAATCTAACATTCACTAATACTAGTGGTCTTTAAAGTAACTTTTCTTCTGTTGAGTCTTATCTTTTGCAAAGTTCACCACACCTACTTGTTCTTTACGAGACAGAGTTCAGCTGTCTAATTTTGAGATCTTAATGTTAATGATTATCTTCCTTTAATTGGTAAAGACTCTAATAGTCACATGCTTCAATAGTCACATGCTTCAATAGTCATATGCTCCAATAGTCACATGCTTAGCCTGGGCTTTTACAATCATAAGGATTAACACTTGTGGAAAAACAAGGTTTGAATCAACAGACTATTCTTTAATGGGTTTTCGTTTAGCACCACTTCACTCTAGCACCTTTCTCTTTGTTCTATATCGCTCTCCTTCATCTCAAGACAGCACTATTTTTGATGTTATTTCTTATAAAATTGACCAAGTCTTTTCTTCAACCAATATTATTGTTGGCTTTAATACTCATCACACTGAATGCTTTAGTGTCAGTGACTCTGCAGGTGTTAAGGCCCACAGCTGTTACCTTTCCAGAGTCACTTTTCAGTGCTTAGTTTCTCCATATTCACCCTTAAGTGCTTCTAATCACTGATTGTTCTCTCAAAACTATTATCTCATTATTCTTCATCATCAGAATCCCCCTATGATTGTACCTCTTACAACTATCTTAAAGCTAACTGGCACACTTTTTGTGAATTTTTTTTGATACCCCTTGGGTAGAAATTTTTTATTTTCCTACTGACAAATATGCTTCTTATGTAACTTCTTGGATTCAGGCTGTTACAGAATCATTTATTTCGTCTTGATGATTCCAAGTCAAACCTTACTTTTTTCCATGATTTTCCTTTTATTGTGCTGCTGTTATTTTCACAGATAAAACTGAATTGTTTGCTAAGAACTTTCCATCAATCTCATTTCTTGATTCCACTAACCACATCTTACCTGACATAGACAACAAACATGTTGATCAATTGCTTGATATTCATATTACTCTAGCTTCTGTATCTAAAGTAATTAGACTTTTCTACAGCTTGTGGTTCAGACAAAAAACCTGTTATAGTCTTGCAAAAGTGTTCTACAGAGCTGTCGCCTATACTTTCAAAACTATTTAAAAAGTACTTAGAGTCTTGTTTTCCAGCCTGCTGGAAAGCAGAATCTGTTATCCCTATTTTCAAAAACTCTTATTATGAATCTATTAACTAACTTCCTCTTCATCAATATGGATTTTGATTTTCTTGTTTAACTGCTGATTTGCTAACGGTAATAACTGATAAGTTTTATTAAGCACTAGATAAATGTGGAGAGGTTTATTAAGTGGAGAGGTTAAGGCTATCACTCTCAAGATTTCTAAAGCCTTTGATAAAGTTTGACGTGCTTTGATAAAGTTTGACAGAAGCTATGCTGGTCTTCTCCATAAGCTCCCTTACATACCTTTAAGATTCTCAAATTCTTCCTTACCAATCATAGTATAAAAGTTGTCCTTGATGGACAACTTTTTCTTCATATCCTGGGTTCCTCAAAGTTCTATCCTTGGCCCTATACTCTTTTTAATTTACACTAACAATCTCCCAGAAATTCTCCCACATTGTTTGCTGGTGACACTAAGTTTATTCTTGTCTTGATAAAAAGTCAACACTCTCTGATTGCTTGGAGGGGGCATTTGAGATTGTAAAAAGTCTCACTTTTGCTACAGTATGGGGCTTTCAGCAACTGGTGAACTTTAATTCAGATAAAACTAAATTTTTTCAGCTAATCACTATCACAATAGTCTAGATCTTATTTATTTATTTGTGAATGGTAATGTACTTGATGAATCATCTAACCTTTGTCTTCTAGGATTAACTCTTACTTCTGATCTTTATTGGAAACCATATATCAAATTGATTCCAAAATTAGCATTTGTTAAGATTGCATCTCCTTTTCGTGCTCGTCACTTTCTTACTCAAGATAATTAAAGTAAAGCTTTAAGACATGTGTACTTAAAAGTTTAACAAAGAAAAATATAAAAGTTTCACCTATTTTTTTTTCAAGACCTTTAAAACTTTTGTGACAAAAAAATGCAATACCTCAGATTCAAAAAGGCTTTGGTATATTGCAAAGACTTAGATGTACTGAGAATAACTATAATTGAGATAAATTTTTAATTAATTGAGATACATGAGGGTACAGGATCAGACAATAATCTTAAAGTTGGATCGAATAGAAGTGTTGGTTTCTTGAAAGTCTTTCCTCAGTTTCTCAATTTAGAGAATCAGAAAAACTCTCCTTCATTTAAGAAGCTTTATCTTCTGCAATAACTTTACAGTTATATGGCAGGAAATTATTGAAATTTCAATCTTTGCCAGGGTGACAAACTCAGAATCTTTGGGTCTATTATTATTCACAAAGCTTATAAAGTTAGAACCAATGCCACAAAAGCATGGGACTTTCAAAACGCAGTTCATGAACCCATTACCATGTTGCTGTATATAATACTATGATTATAAATTCTATTCAACCCATAGAGCTTCACTTGTTTTTTAGGGTGGTAAACCACTTACAATAAAACATCTTCATTTAGCAAATTCTGCCAAAAGTGTTTGTTTGGTTTAAGTATGAGAAAGATCTCTTCTAATAATGGAAAAGCATATTGAACATTGCTTCTTAACAACTGATTGATCTTTAGGGTTTTATCATTTGGGTAGTGCTAATTGGTTGAGGGTTATTAATTTTTTTTTTACAATGCATTAAATCAAAACTTCACATGTTGACTCTCTTGTACTTGGACAAACCTTCACTGCTTGATAGTCAGGCAAAGGTTGAAAAGAAGCATCTTCATCTGAATCTTTTTTTGAATGAGCTATGCAGCACTTTTCACAAATTCCCAATGACACTTGAGGATCATTTGAATCAATTTGATGAACAAAAACTTTTTGTGAACACTCAAAAAAATCAGTCATCTCTCTGTTGGCTTTCTGTGAGTAAAGTAAACATGCAGATTTTCTTCATTCAATTTTTTGCATTATTTGAATAAGAATAAAGTAAGTCAAGTTGACACAAGGTTTAAAACTGTGTTTTTACTATTTTACAAGTTTTAAACTCTAAATTAGAAAAAATAAAATTTGAAACTATTAATTTTCATTAAAAAGTTGAAATCACTTTTTCTTTCGCAGACAAAATAGTTTGATTTTGGAATCTTTACTAATGTGATCGTCTATTTATGTACTACCATTCCTCAAAATTTTTTTCTTAGATCTAGAAATTGTTTTAGATTTTCGGATCTAGAAATCATTTTATTCATCATTATTAACTATTATCATTTAATGCGAAGCTACAAAAAATTTTGGAGAGAATTTTCCTTTTACATTACTTTTTCTTTGAAAAACACAGAAAAAAGCAAATATTAAGTTGTTGATAAAAAAAATTTTCCTACACATGTTTAGAAATCAAAAAATTTTCTTACACGTATTTAAATCAAAAATTTATCTTACACGTAATAAAATATATTTAAAAATAAAAAAATTTTATTACGCGTATTGATGTTCTTGTGTTTTGATCATAGTTGTAGTTGGAGTTCAAAACAAAGATGCCAAAACCTAACTTAAAAAAAATAGACAAATATATATATAATATATATTATATATAATATATATTATATATAATATATATTACATATAATATATATTGTATATATAATATATATTATATATAAAATATATATTATATATATAATATATATTATATATATATAATATATTATATATATAATATATATTATATATATAACATATATTATATATATATATATATATATATATATATATATAAATATATATATATATATATATTTATATATATATATATATATATATATATATATATATATATATATATATATATATATATATATATATATATATATATATATATATATATATATATATATATATATATATATAAAGATGAGGTCAACTGTAGATGAAGCCATTTAACCTCAAATAAACTTTGTTTATTTGAGGTTAAACTTTGCAAAAATAAGCACAAGATTTGATCAAGAAAATTATTAATATAATTAAAAAATTGTCATGCAAAAAAACTTTTAGCAGCACTTATTTACTATTCTAAATTGATCTAAAATGATTAAAAAAATTTATAAAAAACTATTTCAAAAAATACAAAGTTAGCTTTTCTTCTGTAACAGATAAAGATTTAGGTAAATCAAACTTTTTTAGTATAATACACTTTAGTAATCTTTTAAAACTTTTATTATTTTTCATACTTGATTTATTTTTTACTTTTTTTACTAGCTACTTTTAAAAAAGAAATTATTTTTTTTGGGATTACTGTCAACTAACCTAAAATCTACCTTGTCAAAATGATTTTAAAAATAGATAAAGTGCTCAAAATAGAGAAAAGAAAGGAACGTTTTCAGTAATTTCTAAATACCATCCTGTCTAGTCATAAAAATATTAAGACAAATATAAATTGGTGGCAAGATGGTTTACAGAAAGGTGGTAAAATAATATCTTGTCTGACTTTGAGCACTGAGAAACATAATCTTATTAATGTCTATTCTGCATTAACACTAATACTATTTTTTGTTGTTTACTTTGTCAGTTTCAGCCTAAAGACACAGTCAAAAGTACATCATCTTGATAAATGAAGCCGTGAAATCTGACAAATCTGAATAACTCTGAGTAGTTCGGTGTTTTTATTTTTTATCTAGTGTAGTACTAATAGGTGCTTTTATTTTTTATTACAAAATCTATGTAAACAAAATTATAGTTATATACCTCTAAACCTTTTTTTATATAAGGCAGTTGGCTACCAGCTTCTAATGAATGATTAATAATTAAC